GACAGAGAAAGAAACCCTTATTAGTGGAGTCACCATAAAAATTATGGAGGTATTTATTATCTCTACGTTATGAACTTATTAATTATACTAACTTGAAAGGTAAATAAAAATTTTGACTACACAATATATATATATATATATATATATATATATATATATATTGAAATTTAAAAGAAGATTAGTTAAATTTTGGAATTAATTTGATATGAAAACCAATAGAGGAAGGGTAGGAGTATTGGTAGGAGTATTGGTTTTTGAGAGGCATGAAAGTGATCAAAATTATATTAGATTAGGCTTTAAAATTTTTATAATATAATTTAAATTTTAACTAGCCAATTATTTAGAATTTGGGAAGTATGTTTTACTAAGAAGATAATAGAAAAAGGCTCAAGAAAAACAGGAGTTGCAACATGCCTCACAACTAAGAAAATTGGTCTTCAATCATAGATCAAAGACAAGAACCACCATTAGGAATTACATTAAACATAAATCTATTTCATTTAAATACTAGGGACTTATAACTTGAAATCTTATGAAAGACTAAGAAAGTATAACATAATAACTATATAATATTGCCTAGAATAGCTAACTAACTCACTTCATAGTTTTAGAAATTATGATGTAATGATCTATATGTAAATATAAGATATATTAAGTTGTTTTAATTTTTAAAAAATTGGCCTGAGAACTTACCCATTGAAACTAATTAGGAATATCATATGGGTGATAGTATATTCACAAATACATATTCTTTTAGGTATTTATTATTAGATGAGTAGTACAATTTATTTCTAAAATAAGAATCACATGGCTTGTATATTTCATGACCCAATTCGATATGACCCTTGCATCTAATAGGTTTTAATGTGTCGAATGCATAATAGATAATATCCATAATCTTCATTGGAAGAAATTCTTCTATGTAAACATAATAATACAGAGGTGATAGAAACTTCAAAAGATCTGAAATAAAATCATTTCATTATTGTTTACTTTGAATCACATGACCATACAACTAAAGTACCCATTTATAATAATCATTTTTTCAATCACTATCATCATTAATACAATATCCCATGTTTGCAAAAATAATTAATAGAAGACATACCTATAATTCCTATCTTTAACATTTATCTACTCACCTCTTCCAATTCCCTTTTCTTGCTCTGAAATGATCAAGTAATAAACAAGAATGAGCGACTATTAAATTAGATTGCAAATAGCTGCTTCAGCTTTCACTTTGCTAGAGTTTTCCCTAGCACCTTCTTGGCGGCGCTAGCTGCCCCTCTCTTTGTTTGTTACAAGCTAAGGAAAGCTTTCCATTTCCCTCTTCTCTTTTTGCGGTGCTTTCTATATTCTCGTTTCTTTCGATTCATCCACCTCTAGCCTTCTCAGCCAGAATGGAGGGGTGAATCGTTTGGTCGATCCCAGTTTTTTGGATGGATCGATCAAATCTTGTCCCTTCCTTGATGTTCTCTTTATTAATTCCCTTGATGTGAGGTTTCCTGAGTTGAAACCTACCTCTTTTCATGGCTTACATTCACTGTGGATTTCGAAGGAGGAAATACTTGCGCTTAAGGCTCCTCTTCAATATGTGCTAGTTGATTTTTTTTCCCTCTCGTCGCCCATCTCTTGAATCTATTCAAAGTTTTTCTTCAATCTGAAGCTAAATGGTGATTTCTCAATTACTTTGTTGGATCCTTCACATATTTTAATTAAGTTGGTTAATGACCCGCAATATAGTAGACTTTTTTTTTTCATAGATCTTACCTGGTTAACAACAGCTATATGAAATTGATCAAATGGACTCCTTTATTTGACATTGGTTTGGAGCTCTAGTTATTCATATTTAGATATCCTTCCCAAACTTGTGGCCACACCTATTCTCCTCTCATATCTTTCACAGTCTCGATTTGCTTTTAGCTACCCATTTAAAGTTGATAATATGACATCTATTAGATCCTTTCCCTCTGTTGCGCATGTTTTGGTTGAGCTTGACATTACAAAAAATTATCCAGATAAAGTCTGGTTAGGTCTTGAAAAATTTGGTCATATTCAACATGTTGTGATGGGGGAATTTTCCCCCTTTTGTGCTCTATGTAAAAGTATTGGGCAAGTGATGGGTGAATGCTGCCCACATCCATCCTCTGCCTCATTAAATGCTATTGTTAATGCTTCTAATCCTATTAATGTTAATTCTAATGGGAATGTTGTTACTATTTTGGATTCTTTGGATAATATAGTTATTCCTAACCTAATTGCTTCATTAGTTACTAACGAGGTTCTTAATGGTGATATTCCTGATGCCTCTAAAGATATAGGGGAGATAGGTCCTACTGTTGTTGACACTGGGGATGTTGGTGGTCATACTTTGGTGAATAGGGTTCCATTGACTTTTGAGCTTGTTTATGTTGAGGTGGAAGTTCAGGCTATGGCTGCCTCCGGTGATATCAGAGATGGTGTTAATGAAGGTGCTAATAATTATATAGTTAATCTTATAGCTATTTATATTGCTTCACCTAGTTCTTTTGTTGATGTTGGTGTTGGTGTTGTTTCTTGGGGCTATGAAGTTTTGAGCCCTATGGATGGTGTGTTGTATGATGTTCCTATTACGATTGGGGATGCGATGGATTCTTATGGTTTGGTTGTTTCTTGTGTTGACTCTCCCATGACTTCGTTGGAACAGGTCTTATCAAATAGGACTTTTATTGATGTTAAAGTTACGCTTATTTCTAATGAGTTTTGAAAGCTGATTTGGCGGTTAATACGGAGAGTATTTGTGTGTGGATCAAAATGATTAGCTTGAGTAGTCTTTTTCCTCACATTGTGGGGGTGATGGGGAGGATTTCCATGGGCTTGAAGATGTAGTTCAGGCGATGTATAATTTTAATGTCAATTGCATCATTGAAAAAACTTTTGCTCTGGGGGTGGAAAACGTCATTGAAGGAAGTTTGAAATCAAGTAGTTCATGCTCCTTTCTTTTTCTGTTGGCCCATTTCTTGGTTGGTCCTTTTGCATTTGGTTGGTGTCATTTTGGTTGTGGGCTCTATCTGATTTGCCTGTTGGTTGTTGCTATTCGGTTGGGGGGCTATGTGTTGGGGGTTGGGAGGTGAGTTTGGGTTAATGATTGTTGTCATTTGGTGTTTGGGTTTGTGTTGACAGGGGTGTTGGGTTGGGGATCTACTGGTGTGTCTTTTTCCTCTTGTGCTACTTTTTGTTATCAGTTCTCTCCCTGGTGTTCTGTTCCTTTTGTCTTACTATGGGTAGTTTTGTTGGCTTTATTTTGCAGGCTTCTCTGATGCTCGTTTTGTTGCTTCTCGTGAGACTAGTGCTGGCTGCTTGGCCTATCTAGCTTGCATGTCTGATTTCGTTGGACCTCTCTTTGGCTCTCTCTTATGTTAGTTGGCCTTTTTTATTTTTATTGTTGTTTTTCTCTTTTTTATTTGGTTTTTCCTTTCTTTGCTTTTGTATTGTAATAGACTGAATCAAAGGCTTGTAGGTTTTGTTTCAAATGATGTATTTTTAGAGGGCTATTGATTCACTAAGGACTTGTAATCTCTTGTTTTTTTAACGCATAGGCCCCTTCTCGTGGGTTTTATCAAAAAAAAAAAAGAGTAACGCTTGCCCTGTAGGTTATGTAGCACTTACCCCCTTTCTCATTATGTCTACATGCAGAAAATAAACATGTGATTTTATTACTACATTGTAGTTAAAAGGTCGGTCATAACAATAGGATAAAGCATGTTATAATTATAGAACTTGTGCTATAATATTCATAGCAGTGACACTACATCTAGCAGTTTGGTCAATCGGTCATTATAATCTATGGTGTTCAATATCAACATAAGTTCAGTGTAATGACATGTGTCATATTATAAAAATAAATCAATTGAAATAAATTAACAATTATAACACATCACATCAATCTTCACATATATATCATTACATCACATCATATCACATCAATACCCTCAGGCTCTTATACCTCCCAAATACATCATACATACACCATTACATTACATCAATCCTTTTAAGTGTCAGCCCTTATACCTCCCAAGCAATTCATATATACAATATCATGCCTTTATAACTCCCTGTGCACAACATAATTCATTTATACAATTGTTCATGTCCTTATGTCTCCTAGTGATCATTTCACATTAATTTCTAATCACATGAACATAAAAAAAACAATGCTCTTAACATATATGAATAAAATCTAATATACAAGTACAAAATTTCAAATGAACAACGAAGGTAATAGTGTTTTCAAGAAATTACATATACCTTCATCATTTACAAATCACAAGATCATTTATGGGCAGCATCATTTTCATAAATTTGAAGTTATTATTATTCTATAGCCACTCCTATCAGTGTCAATATTCTCACTAAATAGTTAAAAAATTTCATGTCGTTAAAAATATATAATAAAATTCTAGATTTTTCCTATCAACCTGACCCTAACAATTTATTCTACAACATATCAGAAGTTAAATGATGGAAAGTTCCCCAAGCTTCATTTACTTGAATATATTATCAAAACACTCGTACAAATAACCCAATATGAAAATTGAGATAGGATAATGATAACATACCACAAACTGATCAATTTTTTCAATTAGCTTGTCGAGCGAAATCAGCTTAAGAGCACCAAAATCTACTTTCTATTTCTAAAATCTCTTTCTTTCTCTCTAGCTGGGTCTCTAAGAAATATTAATTTTAAAGTTATTTGGATAATTCAAAATTATTATTAATTTTAGTTGTACCAACACAAATGCATTTACTCTAAGTTAGCATTTATAATATTATAAGCTTTAGAAATTTGTTTTATGAAAATAATTATAAAAAATTAAATATTAGATACATAAAATTATGTATGTGAAATGTAATAATTATAAAAATTTATGATATATATGTAAATCATTATTATTATTATAATATTTAAGCTTACACGTTTTCCTTTGGGTCCAATCTGTGCGTCTGTGCGCCAGTTGTTCTGTTGATTGATTAGGCGGCCCGTCGTCTTCTTTCTTTTTCTCTTGCTTGGACTCGTAGCAATTTATCAATGCCCTCCTTCTCTGACCGGGGAAGCTCCGAAACAGCCAAAGGTCAAAGCAAGAGGAGTTCCAAGTCTTCTTCCTACTTGCTACAATCCTACCTTCTCCTCTCCTCTCTCTCTCTCTCTCTCTCTCCCCCTTTCTCTATCGCTCTATATAATAGCAGTTGTGTTGGTCTCCTCCTAGAAATTGATCTCGGCCTCTCTATTTCCTGCTGCACGTTTCTCTCCAGAAGGAATCGTGAATCGGGAGGATCGAAAGGGAATCTGTAAAGAACAAAAGGATGAATTTTGTCAGCCGGAAGATCCATCTTTACAACGTCACCATGGGCCTCTACATGCTAGATTGGTGGGAGAGATACCTATTCAGTATCCTTGTTCTTTCTATCCATCTTGTTCTCTTTAACTGCGTTCATTCTTGATTCCATTAAAAAATAGAATATCGATATTCCAGTTATATTCAACTTGGTTGCGGAAATTTTTTTTTTCTCTCTTGAAAAGAGGAAATTTTATAAGTTTTTGGGCATAATAGGTCTTAACTCGATCTAGACATATTGATCATCGTGTTGCTCTGGTTCATCTGCTACAATGGGACTCGGTCGGCCAGCGTACTCTACAACAGGTAATTTGGTGTACTTTATAGAACAAACATGTTAGTTTCGATGTGGAATTGTGAGAAAGATTTCAGGGTGCCCTAGGTAGTGAAGATTATTAGGTGAGTGTAGTTAAATTTTCTCTTTTGTACATTGGGTAGTTTGTTGTTATGTATTGATATTTCTATGGTATCCATGGAGAGCAAAAGAGAACAGTATAGAACAAAAATGATGAGTAATTTATATGAAAAGTTGGCATTTTATGATTCAGAATTTAGGCTGATGAGAAGCAGACCAACATTTAAAATAACTTTGTATCTATATGAAATTAGTTCATCTCTAAACTATCTGCTTCATTATTCATTAGATGAATCTTATCTATCCTTGATGCTTATTGATCAATAAGCTCAAATTTTGCTTGTTTGAATCCAACTGCTTGATTCTACTTCCAAACTTTTCATTTTGACTTCTGAATCAGCCTGTGCTATATGCTTTTCTTTTGAGTTCTTATGAATTCTTGAATTTGTAGAGGTTGTTTTGTATCATAGCAATGCTATTCCCAATGAAGACTAGAAGCTGCTGAGCATTTTCTCAACTTGTGCTATGTGGCATGATTAATCTGATATTTCTGAGATCTAGAAAGTTCTAGATGGCTCATTTTTAATAAAAAGGGTTTTAGTATTTATATATCTAATGCTAAATCTTTATATCTATCTATGTAACATCTTAATTTATAAATGATATAATAAATTACTAATATTAACTAACTAAATTGAAGTATTCCTCGTCATGCATATATTTTGATGTCATCTAGAAGCTAACCTGTCATGTGAGTATAAAAATTTAAACGGTAGATATATAACTACATAAGAATTCAGTGCTAAGTATATAAATTCCTTAATTTGGTTTCATCTAAGTCACTGCTGGTTCTTCTCATCCTAAAGCAGTTGTTGAAAGATCACTTATTTATGTCCTAAGATTTATTAATCTTTTGGAATGTTGAGCTCGCCTAAAACCTCAACAACAAAATTACACATTCACATCACAATTAAGGCTTCGTTTGGGACAGCTTTATACATATGTTTTTTCCCTACTTTCAAGGGATTTTTTATTAAAAAAGCAGCTTTACAAAGCCCTAAAAAAGCCGTCTCAAACGAAGCTTAAATTTAAGTGTGCTGAATGTGCACTTAAGTATTCTTTTGGGTGCATATGTTGTGAATTGAGGTGTATTCGATGCATAGCACACACTAAAATACACCTAAATACACGGAGAATGTGCGTATCTAACCACCCACAGACTTTTTTCTCTTCTAATTAACATATTACTGTTAAGGATGTCAAGGCTGTATTTTTTGTAATATCAGATCAGCTGGCAGTCATTTTTGGCAAGTAATCTGTGCAAACTCCACTTTTTAAAATATTTTAATTAGGCTTTTTGAGATCCGAAGGCACCTTACTCTGACTGTCTACGTTGTTGCTTGTTTCTGAAATACTAGATGACTTTTTTTTCTGAAATTTTCTGCTTAGTAACCTGGCAATAGAATTTGGACATATTCTCTCATTATATATCGAAATTTTCTGCTTAGTAACCAGGAAAAATGGCAATAGGAATATTAGTATATTTTGGTCAATTTATTAGACAATGCAACATACCTCTTCTGACATTGAAGTGTATTGTAGCATCCTAGAAACTATTAGGCTACCACAGCAGCTTCACTGCATGAAAGTTTATTTCTTTTTTTTCTTTTTTTGGTTCAGAAAAGCTTGTTTGAATGAAAAATATTGATTGTTTTGTTTTACATCTATTTTCCTTTCAGCCACATCAAGCCCAACTTAATGATTGGGGGGAACTTTGCAGCAGGAAACATATCATACTAGATGTCAACAAACTAGATAAGGATGATGTGTTTGAACTATTGTTAAGATGTAAGCATGCAAGCTTATGCTTCCTCAGATATCAAGACTGTCATCATTATGTTTGTAAATCTAATTAGTTCTTCTGTTATTAACAAACAATTTGTTTTCCCAGCAATGTCCTGGTGTGATAATCTATTTTGTTAATTACTTCCTGTCATGATTTTGATTTTCTGCAACTTCATCTATGAAATTTCAGAGGAATTCTCTGTTTATGATGTTATTCATTTTGTCTCTTATGTGATAATGAAAAATGCTGATGAAATTGTTTGTGAGATTCAATCTATGACTGTTTGAATGAATTAGCTTTGAGATCAGTGTTATACATGATTTATCATTCAAAATTTATATTTCAGTTATTTTAAATCAAAATAAACTATTTTGAGAGATATTAGGAATGAATTTGGGATGATTTTCAGAGTCAACTAAGAAACACCCATATTAAGGAGATTCTTGGTAGCTTAGAACTTGAGTGAACTATTATTTAAAAAAATTGGCTAAAACTTGGGGGAGTGTTTGGATTTGGGGCAACTTTTTGATTGTTTTGTTTTTCAGATCGTAATTACCCTTTTATTTGACAACTTTTTTTTTTTTTCTATTTTTTTTTATCATTTTTAAAATTTTTTTTGTAATGAGAAGCTGATTTTTACAATTAGATCTTCTACTAATGTGCTGTAAAACAACTTTCACAGCTCTAGCTATTGTTTGAAATCCTAGCGAATTACTTTTGGATTTTGCTTTTCTAGACTTACCTTCCCCCGTTTTCTATTTATCTGAAATTCCATCCAGTTAGGATATCAGATGTTTGCTAGCTACTTGTTGGATCCATATTTATTCATTGATAATATAAGATTCATACCTTCAAAGCTATGAGATTTTAGTGGATAGAAGCATGATGAAAAAAAAAAGAGGAAAGACAAGAAGTATGTTAAAGGAACCCAAATCTAAAGAGGAGCTATAAGATTTTATTATTAATGTTCATTGTATAAGAAAACATTCCAAAAGTCTAGAAAATGGCTCTTTTATGCTATATTTATAGAATTTATGTTCTATAGGAATGACAATACAAAATATAAAGCATATGTAAAAAATATGTAGACCGACAACATACATGAAATGAGTCTATGTTGATCATGTGCATGTGGACAACTATAATGATTTAGTGAAGTCAATAATTTTCCCGAAAATCAAATTGCTATAGTCATGGGCAAGTTGTTGACTTCTTGAGGAACCTGTCGATTTCTTAAGGAACTAAAAATATGTCAATGCCATTGCGCTCGCCTTTTCTTTGGATGAGTTCATAGATTTAGTTGGTTACTTGAAATGAATTCATGTCATTGTTACTGACGTGGGCAAGTTCATTTATAGATTTGAATAGTTCCTCTTGATATTAGATCAAGTAAATTGAGTTGATTTGGCTTGAAATGAATTGATTAAGCTTGAACCAGTCCTACTTAGCTTAGACCTGATTTTTTGAATATTTGATTAAACACTACTAATATTTTATGTTGGCTTTCCAAGGCACACAACCCCTCTTTTTGTCAGAAGAGTGACTAAGGCCTCGTTTGATTAGGCTTTTTTTTTTTCCGTTTCCATATTCAAACGTCGAAATCAATTAGTATTTACTGTTTGGAATCAAAGCTTAACAATAATTCCTTTTTAATAAACATCATTTTTTCGGCGGTTACAAAATTCTTTTTGTATCTGCTTCTTCGGTCACAAAACGGAGTTTCAGAAGCGAATTACTGATTTAAAATTACTTTCAAGTATTAAATAATAAAATCTCAAAAGCAGAACTCCTAAACAAACAATTTAAAATTACTTTCAAGTATTAATAAGCACTTTTAAAAATATTAGTCAAACATATCTCATTATTGAAATTCCATTTTATTGAACGGCTTTTTCTCAACCTCCTTTTCTAAAACTCCTTTTTATGTAAGCATAAACCGAATCAAACGAAGCCTAAGTTAAGTACCATCATTGCTTAACTTTTAGTGTTTCCCTTTGACCATTGCTCTAAATTTGCAATTGATTGATGCCTAATATTTGATGCTCTTCTCTTCTCACTTAACTAATGTGCCCTCCTATCCAAAGACTGACCAAGTTGGTTGCTCATAATCACCTCACTTTAAACTTTTCTTATCGACCATTGCTTTGCTCTAGCCAATATCATTTTTCAAAGTTTGTTAGCCACTAATGTCTAAAGCTCGCCTTTTTGTTCTTTTAGTCTCACTTCTTATCAAGAAAATGATCAAGCAAACATTCTATTAGGAACGGAGTAATTGAATTATTTATGTCGTATTTGTATTGATTGATAAAGATTGGTTGTATGAGTTAGGTTTAAGCTAAATTATGAGATCCAAGAAAGAATATCTAGTTATTTACCTTGAAATTCAAGATGTTTCAAGATGAAACCCAAAAGCTATGTTACCTATGTCATAATCTATGATTCAATTCAAATGATATGCCCTTTATGATATAATCCATAATAAGGCTAATATTATGTAACTCCTCCATATTCAGCATTTGGTTTAAACTGTTTCAAACCGATTGAAAAAAGATAAATCTTTGAATTTTTGAGTATTGAACACATTTGCATGTCTTTGAGAGTGTTTTAATACATGAAAAATGATTGCATGCATTATAGAATGAGTCGCAAGTGGTTGGCATGAATTTGGGCAAAATTTGAAAAATATTACTATTTGATCCGCTTCGCATTGGGTGTCCGAGTGTCTTAGTGCTGCTATAGGACCATATGTCAAATAATGACATTACAGTGCTATAGTCTTAGGTTTGAGTTTTGCACTAGCATCATAGTGCTTTGATAGTAGCACCGCAGCGCTAGACCATTAACAATACATTAAATATATTGTAAAAGCATTATTCCATTCATTTTGATTGAGTTGTCGGCTGAGTAGGAGAGAGAAAGAGAGATGTTGGAGAGAGAAAAATGGATTTTTGGGCCGTTTGAAAAAGTTGTCCAAATCAAGGTAGGTCACATTATGCATATCTCAGTTTTAAAAAATACGAAGTTTTTTTTTTAATTTCCAATTAAATTTATATTTTCATTAGTGAAAAATGTGGATAACTTTGCACCGATAAACTTTAACCACGTAATTTTTTATATGTTATAAAGATTAAGATTATGAACGTTTTGAGTATTTTCTAAAAATTTTAAACCTAATATTTTTAAAATTGTATGATTTTTATCAAATATAAAATAATATGGATGTTGAAAATAGTGTTGTAGTACAATTAATATCTTAAAATAATATTTTATAAAATTCATGATAATTTGGTTGTATTTTGAAAGTGTGAATATTGCTTAATAATATTTCATGTTGACCACTGTTATAGGAAATTGTGCAATTATGATATGCGTTCAATTGTGTTTTACCTGCTATATATAATGTGATGAAATATGTATATATCAAAAGATTACGTGGCTCTAAGCTCTTAAAGAGTATATCTCAAAAGATTGCAATACTATGAAGATTGCAGCCCCTTATATCTTCAAATTATAGCCACAAGAACATATCTTATAAACCCTAAAAATTCATATATAATGTAATTGAAAAATCTCTATTTGGAGATATAAGGGTCTACAATCTTTTGAGATTATGTTTATGTAAGAGAATATTTTGATGCTTATAAGATATGTTATAGTGGCTATAAGCTATGTTCTGGTGCCTATATATATCTGTTATGGTGCTATAATCACAAAATGTAGTCATAAGAGGCTAAAATTCTTTGAGATTCTATCAAGTTTTGGGAAAACAAAAAATGCAACTGATTTGAAATTGATACGAATTGTTCTGTGATATGAATTTTAGTTTATTTAATTGCTCAATTTTAGTATTTAAATATTTGAATAACTGCTAAGCTTTTAGTATTGTACAATGATTTATTATACTACATTTAACTACTTTTAAATATTATGAAAAATGTTTAATAAAAGAATTTTGAAATTTAGATCCCTTTGTGTGGCATGCTGAGTATGATTTTCCTTATGATTTTCAAGATCTAGGAAAAGGAAGGAGCTTGTTAATTAATAGTTTCAGAATTTGATCGGAGTTGGTAGATATTTCTTTTATTGATTTTTGTACAGTCATAACTAGTTTTTTATTTAGTTATGTAACATTTATTTGTAGTCATGTACTGTTATATATACATTTTGATGAAATGAAAGCAATCTTGTGGAGGAGTTGGATTTCCTGTTACAGCTCAACATGGTAGAACATATCCTGGTCGGGTTGGATTGTGACATATTCAACCATTGTAGTTATGCCTACAACCTCAAAAATAATGACATATGCTATGACCATTTTTCTTTTTATTCCATGGTTGATAGTCTACATGCAATGTTATATGTAGATTCCTATAATGTTCAATGATTAATATGCTCATTGCTTCATTTCCCTATTGTGTTTACCATTATTTAGAACTACAATGTATCAACTAAGTTATATATTTTTATATAATTAGGATTACTTTTAAAGATAGTTTTTGATGGACTATGTTAGGAAAGTATTTGGAAGTAGTCTTTAGATCAGGCATATGTATAATTATGATAGATGTATGATTCCAAACATTCAAATGTATTTTAAAAGATGATCACATGTTAGATGCAATATTTCTAGTTATGTTTATTCATATGACTATATGCATATGGAAAAATTTATCTATGTTGTAAATTTATGATTTAATGTCTACTTAATGAATTTGGAATACTTATTTTGGAAAAAAATGTTTTAAACTATGATGTGGATTTTTTAAGTATGTATAAAATTTTCAATCTTATCTAACCATTCGTTCCCCCCTTAGGACTTTGAACTCCCAAGCTAGATTATGATAGTAGCATTGCACGACTTTTAATATTTCAAATCAAAATTGCTCAGTGCTTGCCAATGATGATCATGTGTCCTCTTTTAAATATCAATGTATGATGCTCATCTCCTCGTTGAGCTCATCTCATATTTCATCAAGAAAATGAACAAACTAATCGTTCACCCTCATCAAATTTTTAGATTTTTATTGTCAATTATTACTTGATGATATGTAATGATTGATGTTTGTGTCTATTAATTACTATTATTGAACACCCATTTTCTTAATCCCATGATCTCACCTCTCATAGGAGAATATTAACTTTAACACCTATTATCTTTTGGATGCCTGACATTCCTCTTAACAATCACTCGATACTTGCTAACAATTAGAGTGAAACATAGGTAATGAACAATATTAGACTATATTATGATTTAATACCATATAAACATGCATTATGATGAGAGAGGGGAGAAAGTCAAGGGGTGATTGAAAAACCTAGGTTAAGTGATACTCAAAAGGCTAAAGAGAAGAAGATGTTACTAGAGCCAATCATGATAGAAAACAACACACTAGAGTATCTAGAATCGATTGAAAGTCTTCCACAATGTTTAAAACAATAAATTCAATAACTTATGCTTAATATTTTGAACTTTAACCTTTCCCACATAATGTTTGGTTGGTCAAGTGCACCAAAAAGCCTTACGAAATGTAAAGTGAGATATACTTGCATAGTATTTTTAAACTGTTTTATTCATATGTTTGATGTACAATTTAATTCTCTAAGTAATATTAAATATGTCATCTTACTTATTTTTATTGTATATTTTTTGTTAATGATGCTAGTTCGTATCACATTTTTTTTTTCAAGTTTTTCATTATATTATCGGAGAAATTATTCTGTGCGGACGCCAAACAAAACTCAACGTCTGGATGCTGCAGTACCGAGCGGTATCAAGCCGCTGTATTGAGCAGTACCAAGACGCGCTACAATAAAAAGATGACATGACTCATTCTGATTACTCTCCGGATGACGTTCAACATCCACACAAAATAAATTTTCTTATTATATTCGAGGATTTTAGATGCACATATCGTTAGTCCTATCGATGGCCTACCACTGAGATCTCATCCTTGCATTCACCATAAGATCCAATAATGTCTTTTATTATGACATCCCATCATTTTGAATGTCCTTCATGGTGAGATTTTATCATGATAAGAGAGGGGTCAATTGAGTGATATCTTAAATAAATATTAATTTAGATATTAAATATGTAATATAAGATAGTAGTGAGTGTTATTGTCTAAGTAAATCCCCAAATATAAGATATTGTGGTCTGCGGACTGCGAGTTCAGAACCAGTCGACTCGAGCTAAAGAATCGGACGTTGAAGCCTTCAAGTCACCTTACATGGCCGGGCCTGCAGCCGGCGGCCGGTCGTCGTCGTCGATGGCCGTCCTACGTCAATCCATGTCATCCTTCTTCTCTTCACTCCCCGTTCTTCTCTTGGTATCGCTTCTCCTCTTTTCCCTACGCTCCGCTCTTCTGGCCGGAACCCTTCGCCTCTCCTCCCTCCCTGATACCGATCCCCTACTCCGATCACTCCTTTCCCGTCTCTCTCCTCCCTCTTCATCTTCGTCTTCGCCCACCTCATCCTCCTCTAAAACCCCTCGTTTGTTCCACCTCTCTCCTGCCGTGCCCCTCGCTGACGACTTTTTCTCATCTTCGCCGTCACTCGGTCGCCGTTCCTCACCCAACTCATCCTTTTCCTCCCCGATCTATATCTTCCTCTCCTTAAATTCTAGTGCTTTGGCTAGGGTTGGGATTCGCCCTAAGTACACCCCTGACCCACCCTCCCGCATCCTCTTCTCTCTCTCAGATTCGGAGAACGCCTCCCAAGAAGAGGCCGATCGGGCTGCAAAAGGCTTCTCATTAGGCAAGGACGGACTCCAGCTTGTCCATCTCCTCTCCCTTCTCTCCTCCGCCCACGCGGTCGCTATCCTGGGATTTATCCTCTGCTATGCCACTGCTTTTGGTGTTGTTTTCTATTGCGTTGCCTGTAACATGCTCTCCCGACCCGTACCGTCTCTCACCCAGGCCCTTCGGTATGGCGCAAGATTAGGAGTCCGGCGCCTCGTCGGGTTCGTATTCTTGAAGTGGGCCATCAGGGACGCGCTGGTTCAGCTCCTCTGCATCTGGTTCTTTGCCAACGTCGAGGACCAGAACAAGCTATTCAAGCTCTTCATCAAGGTCAAGCTCATGCCCTTCTCCTTAACCGTGTTGTCCGGGAATGAAGATACTGAGCTTCCTGGGTTTCTGTTTGTTTGGGGGCTATTGGACTTGGCGGTGTCCATGATTCTCGTTTTGGTGCCTTGGATTGTTGTTGTGGATGATATTAGAAGGACAGGGCAAGAAGTGGTGAAGGAAGGGGTCTTTCTGGTGACGTTAGTCACTAGACAGTGTATGTGGATGAAATGCTTAGAGATAGCCTTGAGCGGAAGGCTGGGGAGGTTGCTTCTTTCTGCATTTGCTGGAAGAAGATTTGCTATGTGGGCTCAGGCAATGCTAGAGGTTTATTTCATGGTGGTCTGGTTGGTTGTGTACTTGGAGGCACGAAGAAAGGACTGCGAATTAGGGGGTAGGAGATTTGGAAGGGAAGAGCTGGAGCGGTGTATTGACAGGCTCTGATGACGGTGCTGATGGCGAGAGAGGGTTTTCTGATTGTAGTTAGTATCATGCAATTTGCAGAGGTATTAATTAAATACCATTTTGATTACTTACTTACAATTAGTCTTGTTTTACCTTGACACTCTTGTTACTTCCGTATTGCTTGTTTCTTTATTGGGGGAGTCATGAATTTGTATGTACAGTTTCACAACTAATAGATTCCATGTAGATTTTGAAAGTGTTTGGATGTTTTATGGTTATATGTGATCCACGCATCATGTAAATAAAATGAATGTCGTTGTTTCTCACATATTATCAATTTCAATATTTTATTTTATGTAGATTTTCATGGTTTATAATTACTTATGATCCCGTTTGGTGCACAAAGCATGCCATTAAGTGGTTGTTCTTTTGATAATTATATTCTGCTATCTTCACCATTCCTTTTATTTTTAGATTACAATCTATATGCAACTGAAATTTTGATGATACAAATTTTTTACTGCCAAAACTGAACCTCTCATGGTAGTGCTTTTCCCTCCTGGTTCCTAGCATAGTTGTTGTCATGGATTTGTCTCCATTTGTGAAGGTGTTCTACACCAAGAAATGACTTTTCTTGTCAACCTTCTTTTAAGATGTGAGAATACATGAATTTGTTGAGCTCTTTATGACGATGTGTTTCAACTTGGTAAGTTTCACTGTTAGTTGTTGTATATTTTAATTGGAAAGTTGGTATTTTACTTATTTTCTCATTGCATTGATATTACCCAATCAACACAGTCGTTGACATTTTGAAGTCCTGGATGAAAAAAATGGAGGGATGCGTTAGATAGTCGTCAACTAGCATAAAATTTGTCGAATAATCATGACATGAATTCTTTAATACATTGTGTTAATGCTAAGGTGTTCCCTGGAAGCGATGCGCTGTGTGGCCTGAATACAATAAAAAGTGTGCACGGTTGCTACACCGGGGCTTGGGTGTCATGTTAAATAGGCAATAGTCCCCACATCATGGATGGATGTGGGAAAATAAGCAAGTCCATGAAACTAAAATTAGGATATGAATTTTGGTTTTTTTTACAACAAATTAATGGATTTGATAGATTTTATGATTCATAGAAAGATAAATATTCAATGTATTCAGAAAACTAAATGGATTGGAGAGAAGGCTAAGGAGATTGATAATTTAAGATTTAAATTATGATATTTTGGTAGGAGTCATATTAGAAATGACGGTGTGATTAAAAATAGGAATTTGAAGGATAATGTTGAAAAATTTGTAGAATTGAAGATAAAATTATACTTTTAAAGATTTTTGTTGATGTTATGATTATTAATATTATAAGTGCTTATGCTCCTCAAGTTGACTTAGAAGAATTAATGTAATCTTGAAGAAAGAGTTCTTATTGGAGGAAATTTAAATGAATGTGTTGGTAGAGAGGTAGATGATTTTAAAAACATTCATGGTGACTATGAGTTTGGAGTGACTAATGAAGGTGGTAAGACTACATTAGATTTTTGTATATATTATGATTTTGTAATTGCTAATGCTTTATTTAAGAAAAGAGATGAATATCTAATCACTTATAAGAATGTATATACTATATAGTAAAACTCAGAATAATTATTTTCTTATAAGAAAAATAGATAGTTTAGATTGCAAAGATTGTAAAGTTATTTTGAGTGAAGGTTTATGTACTCAACATCGCTTATTAGTTTTGAACGTTAAGATGAATATGCAAAATATGAAAAATAAAATAAAACGTTGTTCTAGAATTAAATGGAGGCATTTAAAGAATAATAACAAAAATATTTTTGAGAGTAAGTTTCTAGATCTTAAGATTTTGTCTATGTATGAGGAAACTAATGTTATATGTGAAAAAATAGTTAGTAATATTAAATTTGTTACAAAAGATGTGCTTAGAGTGTAAAAGTGAAAAGCTATTAATAATAAAAATAGTTGTTGGTGGATTCCAAATGTGCAAAAAAAATAAAAAAAAAAACATAAGAAGATTTATTATAAAAAATTGGTTTTGATGTAAAAATTCTAATAATTATGAGAAATATAAAGATACCCTTAAAGAGTCTAAGAAAACAGTATGCGATGTAAAGATTTTAGCTTTAATAATTTATATAATAGATTAGATACTAAAGAGGACGAAATATATATGTATAAATTAGTCAAACAAAGAGATACGAATAATAAATATTTATTTTAAGTAAAGTGTATCAAGGATGAGAATAAAAAAAATGCTTTTATTAGAAGAGTATATTTAACAAAAAGTGGATGAGATATTTTATTAAACTTTTCAATGAAGACTGTGAGAATACGATTGACTTTAGTGACCTTAGCATCCTAAAAGAAAATAAATATTTTTGTTTTTATCGGCATATTTAGTTAAATCAAAGTTAGAGAGATTTAAAAAAAATGAAGTGTGAAAAAGCTATTGGACCTGATGATATTCCAATAGAGGTGTGAAAATGCTTAGGTGATGAAGGAATTTTCTAACTTACTAAACTTTTTAATATTATTTTGAAGACTAAAAAGATGCCAGATGAGTGAATAATGAGTGTGTTGGTTTCTATTTTTAAGAATAAATGTGATGCACAAGTTTGTGTGAATTATAGAGGAATTAAGTTAATGTATCATACTTTTAAAACTGTGAGAGTGAGTTATGGAGCATAGGTTATGACATGATACTAATGTTTCTCAAAATCAATTTGGATTCATGCCGGGTAGATGTACTATAGAAGCTATATATTTATTGAGAGGTTTGATGGAGAAGCATAGAGAGAATAATGATGATCTTCATATGAAATTTATTGATTTAGAGAAAACATGTGATAAAGTTGCAAGGAAAGTGCTATGGAGAGTTCTAGAAAAGAAAGAGTTTAATAATGCTTATATTCAAGTCATTAAGGATATATATGTAGGAGCTGTTATTTGTGTTCAAACACAAAGTGGTTTGACCAAGTATTTTTTTTGATATTTTTATTGGATTACATCAAGGATCAGCCTTAAGTCCATATCTTTTTTACTTTAGTCATGGATGTTCTCACTAGACATTTGTAAGAGGTTGTGCCTTGGTGTATGCTTTTTGCTGATGATATTCTTCTTATTGATAAGACTAGAGAGAGAGAGTTGAAGGTAAATTTGAATTATGGAGGTCTACCTTAGACTTTAAATATTTTCGTTTGAGTATATCTTAATTTGAATATATGGAGTGCAATTTTAGTAGTAATAGATCTAGTGGGAGATTGTGACTTTGGGCGATCAAGTCATTAATAAGAGCACACTGATAGGAAATAAGTGCATGAGCCGAGAAAACTTTGGTTGAAATTTAGAATTTTTGCAAGATTCAAGCAGATTTTGAGATAAATTCTTTGTCAAAACACTAGGGAAATTTGATAATAGATGAAAAGTAGAAGAAAATAAGCAAGATATAATGGATCTTCAATGGAATAAATCAGGAGCTGACCCTGATTTTGGGCTGGCTGGACCGGTCCATCTTGGACCAGTCTATCATACACGTTTTTTATATCTTGGGTATATTGTTCAGAGTGATGATGAAATAAATGGGGATATTATTAGCATAATTCAAGTAGGATGGTTAAAATTGAGGAATGAATTGGGCTTGTTGTGTGATAGAAAAGTGCCTCTCAAACTTAGGAAAAAATTTGTTAGACCGATCCATTGGACCGGTCTAGCCGGTCCATATGGGACCGGCTCACGGAGACATGAGGCAGAACCTATCAGCCTTTGGTACGCGGGATCCAACCGCCCGCTTGCTACAGAACCGTTTAGGAAGAATTTTGAAGGAAGTTTAGGAGGGAAATTGAATGTAGGGATTGTTTAGGGATTTCTTTTTGACTTGTATGCATTAAATAGTTTGTTTTTCTAGGGTTACGATATCTTGAATTTGGCTGAAATTTGAGATTTTTTTTGATTTCTTTGGGCTCTAGTGGCGTCTAGAGATTGGGAGAGAACGATCCTCCTCTAGAATAGAGGATCAATTGTATCTTATTATTTTCCTTTTCTATTTCATCAAATAATATAAATTTCTACTGTTTTCCTGGTTTTGTGTGGATTTTTGTGGAGAGTTTTCACTATTTTCCGAAGATTGATAGAAAATACTTGAGATCTATAAGTGTTCCCTATCAAATTGGTATTAGAGCAAATCTTGGGATCGTTTGTGGGTTGTTTTTGCAAATTCCAGCGGCTGTTCTTGGGTCATTAAAGAATGAAAGCGCTGTTTTTCGAAGGGAAAATTCAGATTTTTGTGTCACAAAAATTCGGAGAACAATGGCTGCCAAAAAAGTGGACGCTTTGGAGGAGAGATTGGAAGGAGAGAAACGAAATCAAAACCACGGTGGACATAATTTCTTCAATGGAAGGGCAAGTTGCGGACTTACGAGAGATGATGAAGAAGTTGTTAGAATTCCACAATCAATTGGCAACTCCTGTAGTGAGAGGGCCAGAAGGACATAATATAAATTCTAAAATTTGTAAGGATGAAGAAGAGGTAGAGATTGTAGAGGGAGAAAGGAGAAAACCCCATCTGGAGCCTTTCTAGAGGGAGGAGGGGTTTGGGGGGGGGGGGGGGGTAATAGAGGAGATAGGTTTGGGGAAAGGCATGGGTATGGAGTGCAGGAGAAACGGGGCACTGATTGAGAATGTAGGGAAGGAAATTATGGTCGTGAGGGGCTGATTTTGAAGGGAGGAGAGGGGAATTAGAAGGAGGTTATGGGTATGAAAGGGGAAGGGAAGATTGGGAGACTTGGGGGGGGGGGGGTTGAACGCTTGGGAAAGGGAAAACTATGGAGGAATGAGGGGAAACAGGGGGAGATCAGAAGGTGAGGAGGTTGAAGATGCCTATCTTTGAGGGGGAGGATGCGTATGGGTGGATCTATAATGTGGAGAGGTACTTTGCTATTAATGGGCTAATGGAAGAGGAGAAGCTGACATCAGCAGGCTTATGGTTGGAGTGGAATGCACTTGCATGGTATCAGTGGAGAGACCAGATGAGACCTATCAGAAATTGGAGGGAATTCAAAGACTGCATAATAGAACGTTTCCAAACTGATTTGGGAGGGAATTTCTATTAGTAGTTCTTTGCTCTGACATAGGAGGGATTAGTAGTAGACAACCAGGAGCAGTTTGAGCACCTAGCCAGTAGGGTGGAGTGATTATCATATACGGTATTGGAGGGGAACTTCATGAAGGGGTTGAAGGTAGAGATCAGAATAGCAGTGAAAGTTCTAATGTCTCGTGACTTGGGGGAGGCCATGAAGTTGGCACAACGGGTGGAAAATTAGAAGAATCTAGAGAAGGGAGCT